CCAATCTTGTTTTTTTTGTTTGTTTTTAAGTTTAGAAATGGGTTAGCCCCATTTTTAATTCCAAAACATGATTTTAAGGTTATTTTTCAACCGTTTAGGATTTCAAGGGTTTATTTTCAACTGTTTGTTTGATTAAGAAAACATATATAAACAACGGCTATTTTCTGTGTGATTGATTAGAAAAAAAACGTAGTGCTTTGTGTTTAATTTTCTAGATTGAAAAATTCATAAAAAAGTGATGAAATTTAACATTGGTAGTTTAGAGACCTAAACTGAACATATAATCAAATAACATAACTAAATTGTGATAAGATAATCCGATCTAATAGTTGTTATGAAATGAAAATGCAGTTTGATTTCGGAGAATGTGTCAATCAGATAAGTAAACCAACAGATGAGATCGAGATAAGATATCAAATCCAATGGTTGTTATGAAATGAAATCTTATCTTGTTTGGTTTCATAGAAACAAACCAACAAATGAGATTGAGATAAGAGAGCCTACAACAATGTATAAATGATGAAATTTAACTTTGTCAAAATTTGAATTTTTTTAGGTTAAAAAGTTCATAAATTAAAATTTAAGATAACACGTCCAGAAATTAAGTTAAGATAAAAATAAATTTACCGCGTAATCAAATTACTACATAGATAAAATATATAGCCCCATATAGAGCCTGAAAGATGTATAGCCCCTTATTGAGAGAGATTCTTTTCTAGAGCCCCAAAGATTTCTCAAAGCTCTAAATTGAACTATATCTACCACTTTTTTAGCCTTATATAGAACCCTTCATTGGGGATGCTCTAAAACAATGAATAGAAGGTGTTATTCTGGAGAAGGGTGGTGCACTGGTGGCTGTGGCTGTGTGAAAAAGAATATTTAACTGGCAAGGTGTAAAAGCGCGTCTGAAATTGAATGGATGGATTGATAGGAGGAGGGGAATTGTGGGTTACCACACACACCCACACAGATGCCACCGAAGCGAATAATTTCCTTATTGGGAAGGTTCTCTGGTGACCAATGCTTTATCTCTCTGGAGAAATAAAGTGTGAGTGATGGGAGGCAATTGCTAATTAATCAATTGATTCTGTATCCCCCTTGCTATCCCTATGTTCCCTTTTGTTTGTTTGGCTACGCACTACGCAGTCTTTGTCCAGCTTCCTTTTGTTTCTCATCATCTCATCTCCTTTATCTTCTTGTCCTTTTTTGTTTTTTTTATTTATCTACAAAATAGTATCTAATAGTTATCGTTTTCGGTTGGAACTTGGAAGGAATGAATGAATGATCCCTTCCCAGCTTCCCTTCAAGACTTCAACTTCAACCACAACTATTAGCTAGCTAGCTAGCTTATCCTTATCAGTCACTTTACCACTAATGAATTCCATCTTTTCTTTCTTTGTGTAGTGAGTGCATGCCACATTGCCACACACCCATCCTCCCCCTCTCGCATGCCCAAAAGGCAACAACCCAACACCACAATATCAATATGTCTTCCCATGTTCATATTATAGCACATGTTAACCCCCAACCATCTTACACCATCATTACATGTTTGCTTTAAAAAATTTAGTCTCCCTATCTACAGTGATGCAATAGGCCAGGCTAAAACTTGGTTAGTTGAGAGATCTCTCAATTGGATAGGTAGAAAATAATTAAATAAATACATAGTAAATCAAATATTAAAATTGTTGAAATATCTCATATCGTCTGTATTTCTGAGAAAAAAAAAGTTTAAATATCTCAACCCCACTCCAAACTAATACCGAGGTCTTTTGTGATAAAACCTTACATCCAACGAATTGTGCAGGTAATAATTAACAAATTAGGGATAATATATATGTTGTTGGAAGTGTGCATTTAGCCCGTCTCTCAAATAGTTTTACAAGAACTTGCCTGCTATTTTGAGTTTTTGGTGATACATGTGAAAACAAATATATGCATTAGTTATGCACTATGCATAACAATTCAATAGTAAACGAAGAGAAAAGCTGATGAGAGCATGCAATGGCTCTTTTTCTTTTTTAACAAATGATATTATTTACATTAAGGAGGTTGGCAATGACTTAGTCTTATAATGAGTTAGTAATAATGTGGTTCAAATTCGTCTTTAATAAAAATATAACCTAAGACCTCTCACTTACAAGTGAAGAGGAATAACAATAGATTGTAGTGCTAATTGGCGCGAGCATGCAATGTTGTGTTAAGTGTATGAAGATGCAACTAGCTAGCTAGAGCCTTCTATGGACCAAACAAACAAAGGATATATCGTGGGTGAAATGTACTTGTTCAAGTTAACAAGAACAGACAGGGTGTGATGATGAGTAGACAGTGTTTTAAGTGTGTGGTCGTTGGTTAGTAGAGCGCAGCAGGCATACAACACTCATCTCTCACGTACGAGTCATGATCTATCTATTCTGGTTGTAATTACAATGACTGTATATAGTAGATATATACATAGTGGTTTGTGTCGTTCGCTGTTGAACATATATATCTTGTCAATGTCTAGCCAATGTTGTAATTCATTACCATTTACATGTATGAGGGTTCGGGATACCTGCTGGTAAGTGGCATGGCTAGCTCTAGAGAGAGAGAGAGAGAGAGAGAGAGAGAGAGAGCGCTAGCTAGGTACTATATAGTGTTTGAAAATCAATTCCTAATGGGATACCTGCTGGTAAGTGGCATGGCTAGCTCTAGAGAGAGAGAGAGAGAGAGAGAGAGAGAGAGAGAGAGAGAGAGCGCTAGCTAGGTACTATATAGTGTTTGAAAATCAATTCCTAATGTCGACTTGCGTAAATAACAATGCGACTGAACGAGTTTGCGTTGTTCCTCATATTCACACATATCAGCGATGCCTACATTGCCTATGCCATACAAACCTCACAAGCGAATAAAACATTGATGCTTTCTAGCTAGTTTGTATTTTAATCACAATTGACTTATTCGACTCCAATGCATCGACCGATTTAAGAGCAAATTTGAGATAATCTCATTTCTCAAATAGCACTTATCAACATATATACCGGATCAAGTCAGGAATCATTTATCACTATCTTCTCATATACTAGCCCCACACACAAAGTGTGTGATAATTTTTTGTTTTGTTTTGTTTTTTTTTTTTTTTTTTTTTTTTTTTGGAAATAGAAGGAGAGGTGAAGAGAGTGACAGAGAATGTAGGAGTGGGAAGTGGGAAGTTGGAAGTTTTTATTTTATATTTTTAATTAGAGATATGTTAGGATTATATATAGGTGAAGCTTTGAAAAAAAAAACGCAAAATTTGGTTGTGTGAAATTACATTTTTGCCCCATATTTCTTATTCATGTTTTGTTTTAATTAGAGGATTAAACTGGTAATTTCATAAGGTTTTGGTTGACAATGAGTGTTTTATTAATTAGTAGAGATAGAGAGAGGGGTAATGGTAAGGAAACTAAATTTGTAGACAAAATTTTGACAACTAAAGGACATGGAAGTTGATGATTGATTTATTACTTAAGCGTTAATACACATACTCATTCCTATTGGTGACACACTATTTAGTTTGCAAATATTGCCTTCAAATTTAGCATCCCTAGCATTACTCATAGGGAGAGAATAAACCCAAGCACTTCATTCTTGAAGACGCTTTAAAATAAATTGCAAGTCAAGTTTTGAATTTTGCACAAACTTTTGGAATCATCTTGTTGAGGATGAATTTCACAGTGATGAGAGGAGGGAACTTGCAAGTGCTTATAAGTAAGTAGTTGGGCTACATCCCATATTGCAAATTGGTTTTATAGTAGAACCTCAACTTCTTTCATATCAAAGCAGGTTGTCTCACATGTGAAACCCAACGACAACACGTGCTCTACGACAACCTGTTTGTGTTGTCCATGTGTTAGGCTTGAAAATTCACCACACGTGAGGAGGTGTGTTGAGAGTGAATCCAAAATTGATGAGAGGAACGACTTTGTAAGTGCTTATAAGTAGTTGAGTTATTTCTCATATTGCCAATTGATAGTATAATGTAACCTCAACTTTCTTCACATTTATGCTAATATTAGGGATTTGTTTTCAGTAGCTAGGGTTGTAGCTTATTTGTAGAAGAATGCTTTTATGCAACTATAATTTCTTTATTCCGTTATATATATACTTTTTCTTTATCTTTATTGTGTATGGATATAAAGTTTAGCATTGAAAATCTAAACTAGTTTTATTTTTTATTTTTTATAAACAACTATATGTGTCAAATTCAATGTAGCATATGAGAACATATTAACAAAATAAAATGAAAAGTACAACAAATTAGGAGACAAGAAGCCTAACCTAACACAATCTAATAAAGTAATAAAACGCAAAACATTATGCAAAACTTTCTTCTACTACTTGACTACCCCTTGACTAAATAAGTTGTTGGTATATACACATGTAAATCTGGAAATTAAAATGAATTAATTTTGTATGATCTAATTTCCGAGGTAGCTAAGGCCTAGAATTTTCTTTGTTTCGGAGGGAAAGAGAAGATTTGACGAGGTGTACGATGATGGGGGAGCTTTGGACCGACAACGCATAAACTGATCAAATGGGAATAAAAACTGGTGGTCCACTACTTTTAACAGTGGATGAAAGGGGGAGGGCATCGCCAATCGCCGTGTTTTCATATCAGAGGAACTTATAGTAAGAATCAAAAGAATATAAAAAAGTCAAGATAGCGAAAGGCAAAAACGAAAAAGCGATTGACATATGGAGCAGAATCTTTCATGTGTGCACAGAAACAAAAGCTAACTGGGCAAATAGCAATACAGCATGCAACGCAACAGAATATAAATAGCCAATAGGCCTCTCGATTTTGATCACAAAACTCTCAATATCCAAAGTCGCAACTTATTTGGATACTTTGAGTTTTAGCTATACATATATAACACACACATAGATCTAGCTAGATAACTAGTAGTACAAGTAGTTTTTTTTTTTTTTTTAAATTTTTTTTAATATATCTAAATTATATCTTATACATCCAAAAGAAAGAAAATGCCTCGGGACAGGGACCCCCTTGTTGTTGGACGAGTGGTAGGTGATGTTTTAGACCCCTTCACAAGGTCCGTTTCTCTGAGGGTGACCTACGGCAATAAGGAGGTTAACAATGGTTGTGAGCTCAAACCTTCTCAAGTTGTCCAGCAACCTAGAGTTGATACTGGTGGTGACGATCTCAGGACTTTCTACACTCTGGTAAGTTTCCATCTTCCATCCATCCATATATCCATATATGCTTCTTCAATTGACCTACTTTTTCATGAATTAATATGTAAACATATATATAAATACAGACTTTTGAGAAAATGGGAAATTAACATGCACCGGTTTCATTAATTACTTCCACTAATTGCAGGTCATGGTGGATCCTGATGCACCCAGCCCAAGTGATCCCAACCTAAAGGAATATTTGCATTGGTGTGTATTTTGTTTCTCTCTCTCTCTCTCTCTCTCTGTACAGGGATATATATATATATATATATATATATATATCTTTCCCTTTAACTTAGTTCACTTCTTAAATAAATTTGCTAATATAATACGAAGTAATTTGCCAACAATATTTATACTGGCAAGGATTCAACTCGATCTCTATGCGTTTGTCTTTCAAAGGTGGGAAGGAGTGTAGACGAAGAAGGATAAGGTTGGTGATGGTGATAAGTACTGATACTTTGTACGAACGTTTCAGGTTGGTTACGGATATTCCAGCAACAACCGCGGCAAGCTTCGGTGAGTTGTTTCTACTGCACTTCCAATGCCCGGCCATTGGTTATATCAGCTTTGTCATTAACTACGGTTCTTTTTTGTTCGAGAAATGTTAAGGAATCTCTCTCAAAGTAGGATTTTCTATATATTTTTCGCCACCTCATGTTTTTGACACACTATTTTCTAATGTTGACACGAGAATTATGCTAAAAACATGAGATGATGCGGAGAATTCTACTTTTAAAAAAGTCTCCTTAGCATTTATCTTATTGTTTATGTTTATTTGAGGGCAATCAAGTATAATTATACTTTTTTAGGATCTAACCATTAATTGTGTTGTATCATTAACAGTAAACAAGCCCACGTATATCACTCATAAACCTGGATTCAACTTGACTAGGTCTAAGTATGCAAGAACAATTCAAATTAAATCACATAGCGAAAGGGTGACAATAATATTGTTCTAGACCCTAAACTTTAAATGACAAAAAATTACCTCAATTATTGGTCTCACGACACTATCATACCTCATTTTTAAAATTAACAATGTCATACCTCATCTTTAGAATTTGATCTAATGTTATACTTTCCGTTACTTGCTCGTGAATTTTTCAGTTAAATGCTGATGTGGCTTGATTCGGGGCCTACAAAACAAAACAAAACAAAAAAAAAAAAAAAACCCAACTCCCTGTAATCCATAAAGAAGAAGGGGAAGAACGAAAAAGAAAAAAAAAAAAAAAAAAAACCCCAGCCCAACCTAGTCCCCCTCACCCCCAAAAAAAAACCCAACCCCCTACAACCCAGAAAGAAGAAGAAGAAGGAGGAAGAAACCCCCCTCCCCCCCCCCCCCAAAAAAAAAAAAAAAACCCAACTCCTTGCAATCCAGAAAAAAGAAGGGGAAGAACAAAAAAGAAAAGAAAAAAAAAAAAAAAAACCCAGCCCAACCCAGTTCCTCCCCTCCCCCCCCCCGGCGGCACAAAAAAAAAAAAAAAAAAAAACCCAACCCCCTACAACCCAGAAAGAAGAAGAAGAAGAAATAAAAAATAAATAAAAAATCCCAAACCAAACCCAGTTTGTCCCCCCCCCCCCAACCCAAAAAGAAGGAAGAGGAAGAAGAAGAAGAAGAAGAAAAAACAAAAAAAAAACCCCAACCCAGAAAAAGAGGAAGAAGAAGGAAGAAGGAAACAAAAAAAAAAAAAAAAAACCCAAACCAAACCCAATTCGTCTCCCCCCCCACCCCCACCAAAAAAACCCAACCCCCTGCCAACCCCAAATCCACTACTCTCATCCATTCTCCACATCCTCCACCTTCTCCGTGCACCCATCTTCCCATCATGAACATGGCGATGGTGGCGTAGACGAGATCTGGGTTTTTTTTTTTTTCTTTCTTTCTTTCTTTCTCTTTTTTCTGGCTTGCATGTGGGGGAAAGAAGATGAAGATGGGGAAGGGGGACGGACGAACTGAGGGTTTTTTTTTTGTTTTTTACTTTTCTTTATTATTTTAATATATAAAAAAAATTAAATAAATTTTTTTAAGTTTTTAATAATATTTTATTATTTCTTTAATAGAAAGTGAGTTCCGAATCAAGCCACGTCAGCATTTAACTGAAAATTTCACGGCCAAATAACGGAAGGGATAACATTGGACCAAATTCTAAATAAAAGGTATGACATTGTCAATTTAAAAAAATGAGGTATGATAGTGTCATGAGACTAATAGTTGATGTAGTTTTTTGTAATTTACCTTTTTTTTTTAGTTTTTTTTGTCAAACAATAGATTTTGTTACATTAGATGTTAGATTAGCCATCGACAGGACTTGAGCCCACACCGTTATGTAAAGGCTCAACACATTTTCACCACTATGATAAATGACCACCTGCAAACTTTGAATACAATTTGACTATGTCCCAGTATGGAAGGACAACTTAAAATAAATCTCATATGAAAAAAGAGTGGCAAAATATCAAATGACGTCACACATGATGACGAGGAAAATCATATATTGGGCCTCTTGGGCCCTTGAGCTCTATGGTAAAGATCTTTTCAGGAGAAGGCTTTGTCTTTAGCTAAGGTTTCCCACTGGTAATAATTTAAGAAATTTTAGCGAAAAAATCATGGTATTGTTAATTTTAATGAAAAATTATATTTTTATACTAAAAAGCCAATCTTGGTATTATTCACTTTAATCTTTATTTTGTTCTTTTCGTTAAAACTCAAAGTTTTTAAATCATTTTCATTAATTTTCCTAATAATTTAACCCAAACCCTAACTGTCTGCCATGAAGGAACCCTTATATTCAAGCATAGACACTGGTAATGAAACCCATATATATTGATCATGCAGGGCAAGAGATCGTGTGTTACGAAAGTCCACGGCCAACAGTTGGGATTCATCGCTTTGTTTTTGTGCTGTTTCGCCAATTGGGTAGGCAAACAGTGTATGCTCCTGGATGGCGCCAAAACTTCAATACCAAAGACTTCGCCGAGCTTTATAATCTTGGATTACCGGTGGCTGCCGTCTATTTTAACTGCCAAAGGGAGAGCGGCTCCGGTGGGAGGAGAAGATAACTTTGATAATAATAATAGATAGATAATCTATAGATCATAGTGTCGAAATTAAACGATAAAAAAATATATATAGTCCGTAAATGATATATACTACTACTACAACTATAGCATTGATAATAATAATTTGGCTTAGCTGGTGGGGGATACTATACGTACTAGCTTAGCTAGTCTATCGATGTGTGCGCACAACTGGTATAGCATTTGGACATGCTTGTTTGACACTAAATACTTCTCAATTTCCAAGAACTACAACAACTAGCTATCGACATGCTTGCATGGTTCGGACTAAAAGCTGACTATTTTAAGTTAATAATAAAGTGTTCGTATTCTTCGCTCCAAGGGATGAAGTTGTACTAATTAAATACAAAAGTGTCGTGTGTAATTGTCTATCTAAGACAATATGGATCAAAATATTCATAATATACATGCAACCCTCGTGTTTAGTTACTACAGTTGAGTTTGGAATCCTGATATTATAATAATACGAGAAAATAGTAATGCAACACATGTTATATATCTTCTTTGTATATAATGGAGCCAAATAAATAAGTCTCCAACACAATCGTTCCTCTCTTGAACTCTAATCCCACCTTCGATCATAATCAGTAGGAGCTACTACAGAAACGATATATATGGGTATATCATACATGGTCCCGTACACATTCATGTTACAATATGCATATTTATTCTTATATTAAAAATTTTTAGCCCAATAAGAACTTCTGGAAGAGGGCTTGGAACTTTTGCATCTCCCGATGAGGAAGTGCCACCAAAATATTAACCCCAGTACCATTTGTTCCATTATCAGGCACATCTTGTTCAGGAAAGAACAAGATGATATCCTTCCTGTGATATACGACGGGACAACTGTACCTGGGCTTCCCCCATGGATATTCCACGTCAGCAAACCCCAATCTCCACCAGGATGACACCAACACCTCCCCGTTAGGAAAGCCTTTGCGTAACTCTCCCCAGTCGATGACGGACCTCGCATACTCATCTGTCATCCTTGCTGCCCCCTCAGACACCATCTCCACCGCTCTTGAGAACGGCCCTTCTTCCAGTTCCCTGCACCCAGCAGAAGCGTAGGCAGTCAGCACTCCATTCCCAGTGTAGCCCTGGGGTAGCGGCGGGTTCAGCCTCTGCCTTATGTCCACCGCATAAAGAATCCTCGACTCTCTACTTTCACCATGATCATCAACATATGTTGAAGATGACAATGCCTTGCACCGCCATATCAGGGCGGTCACCACGCTAAAGCTAGTAATCTTTACACGTTCTTTTGTACTACTAGCGATGGATTTTGCCTTCTCCTTGAGGTGAGCAATGTCGCTGGCAGTCAGCCGGAAGATCTTGAAGTCAAGCTCTTCTTGGGTGGCTTCAAACACTGTAGGGTGTGTGTCATGGCCGCCAACCTCAAGCTCATCCTCTTGCTTGCGCTCCAGGGTGGAGATATTCTCGAGCTCTTGTAACTCGGGGTGGATGAAGGTGACACGTGGTGGTGATCGAGCAGCTAAGATCTGACGGTCATTGTAAGGGATCACTGCCAAGGGCTTGTTAGCAGCCAGGGCAGCCAGATTGTCCAAGAACAGTCTGAAGCTTATACCGTCAAATGTTGCATGGTTGTTTGATATGCCCATCGCGAATCCACCACACTTAAATGTTGTCACCTGTTCAATTATTAGTTCAATTAATCACACGATAATTCTTCTGACTAATTAAACCACTCAGTAAATATTTCACCCTATATATATGTGTACATATAATTATATATTTGGTACATATATAACTAGCTAGTAACTACAATATCTATCTAGCTATATTAGTTGATTACGTAATTAAGTATACGAAACATATAGATCCAATCTAATTGATTATACAGTAACTATGTATGGTACATATATCTGTATTTGTTGCTTAGTGCATATACCCATGTGAATCCCCATTTACAGAAAAGTAGCACAAGTAAACAAGTAAATATGATCCAAATAGTAAGCGCATGCTTAGTATTCTATTTTAATCTAATTTTTAAACTAAAAAACATTTTTTAAGTTTTAAGTTTAAAAACTTGTTTGATAGGACTATATTTTAAAAAATTAAACTTAAGGCTAACTCAAAAAAAATAGCCTGCTTTCTAAAAACACCAAAGTGAATTTTTAAACCTAAAGTTCACTCATTTCTTTTCTCTCTCCTGCCCACTCACTCCCAATCTATCTCTCTCTTTTTTCTCCTCTGCTCCTTCGCTCTCTTCTTTCTTCTTTCTCTCGCCTCCAATCCTCTATTTCTTTATTTCTTTCCTCCTCTTTCCACTTTCTCCCTCTCCTGCGACCCCCTCTTCTTGAATCTCATTGTTCAATTTAAGTTAAGATATAAGAATTTGCATGTTGTCAATTGTATGAGAAGTTCAAGTTTAGGGCAACACTATGCATTCCACATTAAGGAATAGGTTTTGCATGTGGGTCCCATACTCATGGGCATGAGGCAACACTTTCTTATAAGAAACGAGTATGTCATGCATGATTATGACATCCTAATTCAATAACATATGACATTATTGAATAAGAACATCACTGTATCAATAAACATGTTCCATATGAATTGCATATTCTTCACTCTAACTATTCTCTAGAATTTTCACTAATTACATAAATTTGATGTGTCATTTTCGCATAACCTTTTATTTTCACATTACTTTTGCTCAAAATTTTCTCTTGTGTCAGCATCTCCAAAGGACTAGACAATTATTTGAAGTAAAATTGTACTCTGTTGGTTGATTTGCCATTTTGCTTAGTTCATTTGCCTAATTAAGATGTCTACCTCTTCAACGAACAATGCAAAATAGATAAGACAATTCTTAATTGTATATCTTTTTATTTTATTTTATAAAATATTAGTGGGTTTCAAAGTGCATCAGAGAAATATGTTATGTTAATAAAATATTAGCGGAATCCCAAATTGCCTTGTCTCCTACACGGGAAATTTTTTATTGTGTATAAAACATGGGCAGTACATCACCTAGTATATCACATGTTATAATATAAGTGGAGGAAAATTTTATTTTAAGTTGTTAATTTTTAATATGAGTATCTCACCACTTATATAATGATATATGACATACCATCCCGTGTTCTCAACATATTGAAAAATCTCTCCTCTTCCACTAGGCTATTTTCCTTATGAAACTCTCCTAGGTATTTTTGTCTAGTCCTTGGAGCCACGTTTTGCTTACGTAGTCCCTGCTCTTGAGCTCTTACTGTAATACGTACTATGTAGTTATACAATATATCAAACTAATTTGTAAGTGTCCAATCATCTCTTTCAAGAAATTATATCATTATCCTAGGTATCTTTTGAAATGATGTTTTCACTTTTTTCCTTCAAAGATGAAAAAAATTAAATTGTAATAGGTTACATATAAATATGTCCTAATTAACGATAATTATAGTTAAACAGATAGTTGAGCAAACAATTAATTTGCAGGGATGATTACACTGGCTAAGAAGTCATAATCATGCATGTGAAGAAAATGCAATTTTGAAGGCTTGATGTATCACATTACGTTAAAAGTAAATAATTAATTGGTAATATGAAGGTAGTTTAATTTTTCATAAGCACATATACAATTTATAAACTCTTTGATATGGGAGCACACTCAATATATACTCACACACATAAACAACACATGCGACGTGGATTACATATAATCATTAGACTTTCATACATGGATTAATTAACATACTATAATAAAATAAGGGAAATTGATATTTCATCATAAACTAATTGGCACGGTGTAACTCAACTCCTTGTAAGAGAATCAATGCTGATGTGCCCATGAACTGTCAAAATTGATAAGGGAAATTGATATTTCTTACATGAACTGTCAAAATTGAATTTGAATGCTGATGTGCCCATTTGAGGCTGATGCCAAAATTTCTCTCATTCCAAGATATTTGTTAAATTATTTCATTATGCATTGGGCCTAAAACTATAATTTTTAAGAAAAAATAGTTTAAAAGTTGTATTCTATTAGTGAATTATGAGACCCCAAACATTAAATAACCAAATTGATTCTATCTTTATTTGTAATAAGAAGACAACTAGAAAATAAGAAGTTAAATAATTCATATGCCACGTCAATTATAGCATTTTTATTGGAGAAAACCGTGATGTCTTCTAGTATTATTTGACATACTTGACATATCATTTAGAGATGTTATTCTCTTAACTTTTCAAAGTAGAACAATCTCCACATCCTCACATATTACATAGGAGAACACAATGTATTTTACGAGACCACATTATACCATATCTTTGATATAGATAAATACCTATTTGTATTGGTACGCAAACTCTACCTCCATTATGTGGTATATATATAGTGTGATTTTCTAACATTACTCGTCCTTTATAAGTAATGGAAGAGCAAGTATTTTATGCACCACCAGTACTCCATGACCATGAGAAATTTATTAAGAGAGTTCGTAAGATATATATCTATACATAAAAAACTAATTGGAGCTTGCATTATTAAGGCGATTGCAAACAAAGTGGAACTGCATTATTATCTTGTTAGCTAGCTTTATGCAGAACAAATGATGGTGACCCAAATTATATGCACAGGTACCTGCAGAATGAAAAGTGGCTGACGAAGACCATCATGATCATCACCAACAGCACCAGCAGTAAGTTTCAGTAGTTGATCATGATCCATAGCGCTGCAAACTAGTTGTGCAAAGGCTGAATTAGGATAAACCAAGTCTCCAATCTCATCTAAAGCATACTCACTAGAAGCAACCACAAATCCTGCTCCGGCACCATTGCACTCGATCTCTAAGCGACCCGTGTTGGGGTTCACTTTCAACCTTCCCGCCAAGAAATCATAAGGCACCAATATCTTGGCGAGGCTGTCTCTGAGTTTCTCAGCTGCAATTTGGCCATCAGGAAAATCTTTGTGGGCACCGAAGAAATGCACAGAGTGGACGTCGAAATTAAGAACTTGGTCTATGTTGGATAGGAACATGGTTCTTTTCTGTGTCTGTTGGGATGGGAATACAAGAGATGAGTGGTGGACAGTGACCTTGAGGTCTTGGAGGAGACTGTGAGGAGGGTTTCCTTCATGCTCACGATCTTCATCTCCACGGAGCTGGCTAATTCCCATGTTTCACTTAATTTGGCTAATTTTCTTCTTTTTTTTCCTTCTTCTTCTTCTTCTTCTTTTTAGTGATAAGGGAAGGGAAGGGGGTAGCTATTTTCCTTCTATCTGTTCGTGTATATAATAATTTTTAAACGTCAATATGTTTTTAATTACAGAGAATATGTTGGTTGCACATGCACAAGCATTGACACACCAATTTAAGTTTTTATTTTATTTTATTTTTAAGATAAATAGGGGTCAATAATTGAAGTTAATTTGTTACTTTAAGTAAGAAATATTGTGTATATATGGTTCGTGGGGACTATCAGTTTGTGACACGTCGTTTACGGCAGTTTGATCATTGATGCGTAAGATTAGTTTGTTCACGCTAGGGTGTCATGGATTCCTTATGAACTTTGATGATTTTTACTAGCGTGCAGGTGTAGATGCACTTTAACTTTTTTCTTTTCATAAACTGAAGCTGCATAAGGGACCACGTACGATAGCAATGTCAAACAATTTCCATAATGCTCAAGCCATACGAAAATGATTAAGATTGAAAAGTATATATGGCGATGATCATGGACATGGAGGGAGGCCCTTTAATATGAAATCAATGACCCCTAAACTATAAAACGAACAGCTAAGCTGCTAAGGTACGTAATTAATTTCATTTATTGGCTTGAACAAGGCTTCGACATTTCATTAGGAAAGTAACTAGAATTCAATTAATTATTAAGTACAAATACGTAACATCTAACAAGTATACATGATCATAAAAGAGCAGAGAAATTTAATTATGAATAAAAACCTTCATATATCTTCAATTTGTTAGCACATAATGCGTGTAACCTTCAACTCCCCAAATTGTGCAAAATTATTGTTGAATAATTTAATTATAGTCGAGTCGATAGTTGTCACAATCAATCAAAGGGATGGGAATGGACCGGCAGACCTTTGCTCAATACACGGGCATGGGAGCTGTCAATCGGCATTAACTTCCCTAACCACTTTCATCAACTAATAAATAATCTTGCTAGCTCTTGACCATTTTCACTTTATCCGTATATATATGCGTAGAAAATAAGATGATCAATAACACTGATGTACTATATCTAAAGAAATTATGATTCATCCGTAATTTGAGATCCAAATAACTTATTGGCAGTACGTGTTTTAGGTGATGCGTCCTATTAATTTCATTAACATATGATCCATCTTTTGTACTTAACCTTTTTTTTTTTTTGTTAATGCATTTATACATTATTTAAATACGTCAAAAGGAATTTCAGAACAAATGTTGATCATTTAACTAGGATTTCTCCGGTACTTACATGGTCTTTTATTCCCTCGTGTTTGCGTTGATCATTCATCGACACTTCTATGCCTGGTATATATGGGCACACAACCCCCGCAGTTGTTTGATGTCAACCGCTAACCGCTATGGTTGCTTGACGTTGAACACCGTGATTGTTTGATGTCGGTCACTCCTATTTTATCTTGATATGGACATTCACATGCTCTAAGCTGGGCATTTGATGTCCATGCTTCTCGAGTAAAAAATAATTTTTTACGAGGGTATTTTTTACTAATTTTGTCAAAGAGTTTTTGAAAAAAAAGAAAATAATTACGAGAGTATTTTTATTAATTTTTTTTTTTAAAACACGTATGCTTCCCTTTCCACCCTTACCCAGCGCACTGCTCCCGCCCGGCCCTCCCCCCTCACCACAGCACTCCGCACCCACCCTTCCCAACGCCGTATACAACCCATATTTTATTTTAGAAAATGGCGTTTAACTCTTTATTTTAACCCAACAAATAAAATAACAATAATTAAAATGTTATTGAAGTAAATATATTGATGCTTTGCATGTTGATGATGACTTGATGAGCCATGATTAAAACTCAACAAACTCATCCGTGAATAAACAAACCGTACGTGACATTAAATTGAACTCTTCTATAAACTTAAATTAATGAAATAACCACATCTATACGTGTATCTATATGGTGATTTGCAAAGCTAGAGATCGGTCCGTGACTCCGTGTAAATATTTCACCCGTATGCTTCCCTTTCCACCCTTACCCAGCGCACTGCTCCCGCCCGACCCTCCCCCTCACCACAGCACTCCGCACCCACCCTTCCCAACGCCGTATACAGCCCAGATTTTATTTTAGAAAATGACGTTTAACTCTTTATTTTAACCCAACAAATAAAATAACAATAATTAAAATGTTATTGAAGTAAATATATTGATGCTTTGCATGTTGATGATGACTTGATGACACATGATTAAAACTTAACAAACTCAACCGTGAATAAATAAACCGTACGTGACATTAAATTGAATTATCCTATAAACTTAAGTTAATGAAATAACCACATTTATGCGTGTATCTATATGATGATTTGCAAAGCTAGAGATCAGTCCGTGACTCCGTGTAAATATTTCTCTAGTCATACCGCTAACATTTTGGCAAGTTTTTCTTCTCATCACAAGAATGTATGGCTACACAAGAAACATTTTGGTGATAAATTTGAGGAATCTTTTAAGGATCTCAAATAAGCTTATATATATATATATATATAATGTCTTACTACACAGTATGTAGATAGATACAGACACATCTAAGTTACTAAGAAAGGAAGGGACCACTTGGTTTCGTAGACTAGAGTGCAGTATTAGTGTTCTTGACCCCACGAGAAGGAGGAGGAGGAGGAGGAGGACAAACAAAAGGATAAAGGGGTGGCAGTTGAGTCGGTACAAGTCTGCATAATAATGGCGGTGACATATATCAGTATCATCACGCGTGAGGCTCAACTTAAACCTTGCAATTTCCATCACAAAAGCAGCCAAGTTTTTCGGTGTTAATTCTAACAGCTCATCTATCTGTTCCAAATTAAACATTAAAAAAAACCATTATTAGTATTATTATTTTTTATTTTTTTATTTTTTTGAGGTAACCATTAATTTATTATTGAAGCATCCATATATCCGTTATATCCATATATTTAATGAAGGTGGATTAACTCGTATCACGATCAATGCAATACAGCTGTAAAACAACATTAAGTTATTTTGGTTTCTATCTTGCAGGGTACAGACAATTATACCAAACCTGTTTGAACTTTAATCACCCAAACAAGCACTTGACACGACTCACGGAAGGTTTTTATTATTGGGCTTAAACTACTAATACTGGGCCAGCAGCCTCCCAAGACATTTGGGCTTTCAGTTTTTGGAGACGAGAAGAAAACTGAAAAGTGTCATCCAGTAGCTTTGGATTACACGAGCCACCCAAAACCACCACGTGTCTCCTCTTTTTTTTTTTCTTTTTTTTTTTTGTTGATGAAAATATGCCTTCCTTCCTTCCTTCCTTCTTTTTTCCTTGCCTTGGGAAGGGAAAAAGGCTAACGGCCTCGAAACGAGCTACACCAAAGAAAAAGGGAGTAAGGAAAAAGAAACGAAAGAGAAAGAGATGCTGAGCAGAACAACAACAACAGTGATAGCTGCTGCTTCTGCGAAGAGTTCCAAGTTGTTTGGGTTTGGGATCAATAACAGCAGCAGCAACAATCTCTGTTGCACTCGTACTACTACTACTAGTCGTACAAGTAATCTCTCGTGGAACTTCATGAACAGCAACAAGCACAAGTGTAGGAAGTCAAGAATGGAGGAGAGGTTCACCACCCGGGCCTCCGCGCAGCCTCTCACGAATGCCGATGACCTCATTGACTCTGTAGAGACCTTCATCTTCGACTGCGATGGTCCGCCTTCTTCAACTTGTTCATTTTCTTACGTTGTTGAATTGAATGTTGATCCAGTGATCTTCTTTGTTTGTTTCATACCTATAAGAATGTAGCAGTGGACATTAATCCATCTGTTAGGATTTGAGCACTTGAAGTTTTTTTAATAATATTATATGAGACTATGAATACACATTTTGTATTGATTTGATTCCCTCCTAAGTCCTAACCATTTTGTCCGATTACCTTTTTAAAAAGGAAAATCCAATTGATTCAGAACCAAGTGTTGCGTTAGAAAAATTGGAGGGAGGGAACCACCGAACGATGATATGATTTGATAGGAATAGGATTACTCATGAATGTTCCGTTAGAATTTTAATAGTGTTTGTCTTACAGTCTTATGGTATTTATCTCTGTCGTGGATGGTATTGGTATTGCTCCATTAAATAATCTTTCAACTCATCACCCAACAACTGCAGGTGTTATATGGAAAGGAGATAAGCTCATAGACGGTGTCCCCCAAACTCTGGATATGCTACGGTCTAAGGTCGGTCTGTCTGTCTGGCTGCCAATGTAGCCACCTATAATATATTTCCGTATTTGTAGTTTTGTACATATTCATATCATAGGCCAGCAAAATCTTTGCTTCACTGGTTTTTATATCTTTCTTTAGGTTTACTCTTGGGTCCAAGTGTCATGTAGCATGATATAGGGAGATAATTTTAAGGGGCTAGCATTGTTATGTGGCCTCAAACCACTTGCATATTGTCTTTTCCTTCAGGGCAAAAGATTAGTTTTCGTTACCAACAACTCAACAAAGTCTAGGAAGCAGTATGGTAAAAAGTTTGAGACGCTTGGTCTGAATGTCAAAGAGGTCAGTGTGACAGTGTGCCATTTTTCTCTTTCCACGCTCACAGATTTAGCAACTCGGTAATTCTAACCACACTTGAACAATTTAAGGAGGAAATTTTTGCGTCATCTTTTGCTGCTGCTGCCTATTTGAAGTCCATTAATTTCCCAAAAGATAAAAAGGTAACCTGCGTGCCTACTTGGTAAAAGTTAATATCTTGTTTCTGTTCATTTGCCTACAAGTGGAGTATTTGTGAAGGGGAATGGTTTGCATCATATGGCATGTTATCTTCTTCATTGTTATTTCTGCTAGATTCTGATAATGTTTTCCAATATTATTTCATCTGATATTTTATTTGCATATAGCCACAGTATTATATTAAGGGTCTATGTTATTAACATGTAAGAAGTTGTGACTTTATTTCCAGTCACTGGCACCTCATGATTAACACTAAATATAGCTAGCGCATTCTAATCATGAATATTGATGATAATACACTGATGGTACGGCGTTTTATAGGTCTATGTGATTGGCGAGGAAGGCATCTTGAAGGAGCTTGAGCTTGCTGGATATGAGTACCTTGGTG